GAATTTATTTCGATTACAAAAATGAAGTGTTTTTTATGTGAACTTCTCTAAGTAAATGAAAGTGAATCCGCAAATTATCCGTTTCATTGAAGTGCTCTTTGCTAAACCACATTTTTTGTTTTTCGGTCTGACGTTAACACAAACAAAGCGGATGGTTTTCCAACTCGTGAACAGGCAACGTATAACTGCCCATGTGAAAAACAATGATTTCTAAATAATCTATTTGAAATTTATCCCGAAAACACTAAGCGATTGCCTTGCGACTTGTTATTGCGAACGCAAGGCGAACTGGATATTGCAATCGTTTGAAGTCAAACGAAAGACCAGTCGGAATCATTGGTATGTCACCAAATCGCCAGCAATTTTGATTGAATGGTGAAATTCAGTGCGTGTACATCATTATTCTTTGCGGCAAGAATTGCTCGTTGACTTGACCAAGCATAATTCTGAAAATTCTCACTAATGTCATTACTCGAATTTTTAATTACGGTGCGTGAAGTTTCAGAAATTTATATTAGGGCACGATGCCATGCCCAACTAATTTTCTTAGTTATAAACTTGCGGAGAACCGAGACCTTTCCAACGAATGCAAAATGTCGAAATCGGTTCGTGCGTTCTGGAGTTATATCGTCAGGAAGGAAAAACCGACTTATTTTATATATACTTAGATAACAATTACTAGATCTTGTTAACTTCCCGTAGGGTAAGTTATAGTAACTGTCCAAAAATCGAAATCAAAAATTTTTACATTTCTCGACGTTTTGAAGGTTTCTGAACATTTTGGCATACTTCAGAAAAAATGGATGTGTTGTGTGTGTGGGTGTGTGTGTGGTGTGTGTGTGTGTTTTGTATGTCCGCTTTTTTTCGTCCACGTTTTCGGGCGCACGGATCAACCGATTTGAATGGTTTAAAAAACATTCGATTCCTATTGATAAGGAGATGTGCTGATTAGTTTTTGGCAAAGGCAGGTCCAGCCGTTACGGAGATATGGAGCAAAGAGTGCAAAAAATAGAAAGCGAATTTTTGAGAGAACGGATCAACCGATTTGAATGGTTTAAAAAAACATTCGATTGCTATTGATAGGGAGATGTGCTGATTAGTTTTTGGCAAAGGTAGGCCCAGAGGTTTCGGAGTTACAGAGCTAAATTTAAAAAAAAATGGCTGTTTTGAGAGAACTAATCGTCCGATTTAAATGATTCAAAGAACTTTCTGCTTTTTTCAACAAAACAATTGATTTTGGAAAAAAAAAATTTTTTGGTTCTAATTTTTTTTCAAAAAAATTTTTTTGTAATTTTGGACTAAAAATTCAAAAAAATCACCCAAGCTAAGCACAGTCTAAGCGCCACTCTGGTACAAATGTTACCCAAGTGCGTTTAGGACTGTTGTGTACTGGAGCACTTTTCCAATTTTGTGAAAATTATTGAAAAATGTGAAAATGCCGCCAAGCTGAGCACAGTATAAGTGAAATATCGCACAGAATTATTTGCAAATGCGTTTAGACTGTGACTATGCGGGAGCACTTTTTCAATTTTGTGGAAATTTGGCAACTATTTTTTTTTTTGGAATTTGATTCGAAATGAAATGACGATTGTTAATGTTCTGGAGGTGATAAATTGATTTATTTATAATTAACTTTCCGTAGGGTAAGTTATAGTAATCGCACAAAAATCGAAAATGAAAATTTTTATATATCTTTAAGTTTCAAAGGTTTCTGAATATATTGGCATACCTTAGAGAAAATTGATGTATGTGTGTGTATGTGTGTGTGTGCGTGCATTTGTGTGTGTTCAGATACAAATTTTCGTCGACGATTTCGGGAATCGGGATGAAGCAATTTGAATAATTCAAAAACATTTACTTGCATTATCAAGATGAAGATTTGATGAAATTTTTATGAAATTAGGTCTAGCGGTTTCGGAGATCTAGTAAAAAAAGTAAAAAAAAATAAATTTGGCGGTCAACAATAATCATTAGACATTAGACATATGCACCATCAAATTATCAGATATTTTATAGAGATTTTAACAATGAGTATACATTTTGTTAACATTCCTATGGGTTCCGTACCAATGCTTATGCGTTAGACAGCGACGCGGCGCTTACGCGCTTCGATATTTAGTCTCTATGCATTAAAGCAGTACGATTGCTTGAAAAAAAGTTCAGAATTTCCAAAATATTTCAAAATAAATTTTTCAACAAAAAGTAAGTTTTTGTCAAAAATTTATATAGTTCCTCAAAAATCTATTTTTTTTAGAGTAAATTTTTTTAAAAAATGTTAATCTTTTCAAAAAAAAAATAATTTTTGGTACGGGAAGTTCCAGCAATTTGCCTTAAGGCACGATGCCATGCGCCCCACTAGTTACATTCTTTATTTTACCTGTCAAACTCTTTTGGCAAGTTTCCAGCTGGTCCAAAAGAAAGGGCAGCAGTTGAATCATAGTCTCATCTCCGACACAACAGTCTATGACGTTGGGGGTGTCCCTGGCACGAAACATTATTTTGACCCAGGACTTGTCGATGGTCTGAAAATAAGAAAAATAGGTCATGATATAAAATTAAACTAGTTGTGAGTGGCCTTTTGCCTTTGGACAAGTTCCAGGAACTTTTAGATGATACCAGTTGATCCTAGAACAGCAACTTGCCTAAAGGCAAATTTTAAACCGTGGCATGTGACGTATCAAATGATAGGTCTCAAAGAGCTGAAAACGAATATGATATTCACTATAATCTACATTATCACGTGTGGCTTTCAGCGGAAGGGGGGGGGGGTATGGCTTTGATAGAAAATCACCAAAAATTATGTGGGGAAGAGAAAGTTCCAGTTAGATATCACCACGTGTATTAATTTTTTACTTAAATTTTCAAAAAAAAGAACGAAAATTCTAAAAATTCGTTCGGAAAATTTTACGTAACTAAAAATACACGTGATGTATGGTGGGTGGAAGGGTGGTTATTCTAAATATCACGTAAGGGAGAGGGGGGTTCAAAATTCCTAAAAAAAATCGATCACGTGATTAATGGACGCCCCCTTAGGTTCCCAAAACTATTTACTTATATATATATAAATATATATATATATATATATATATATATCTATATATAAATCTCGTGTTACGATGTTGGTTTGCGATGGACGCCCAAACTACTGAACCGATTTTAAATTTTATTGGCTCATTGTGTGCATATATATCCAACTTAGGTTATAGGAAATTTGAAAAGTAAATTTGAAATATAAATTATAATTTTTATAAATTTCTAAAAATTTTGACAGAAAATGACCAAAAAAAAAACAAAACACTAAAATGACAAATGTCAAAATTAGACAAACTAAATATTATATCATATATATTAAATTTTGACCGAAAAGAAAATATTTTGACAATTATAATCAATTTGAAATAAAATGCAAATGTCAAAAATCAGATCTTTATGTAAAAAAAATATTTATTTCCACAATGCTCCTGTGTTGATTTAGCCAAACTTATGAATTTAACAATTATATAATTATTCATTGATGACTTAAAATAATTATTAATTTATTAACAAATAAATATATTTGAAAGAAAATTTTATTCACATATATGACATGACAAAAGTATAATAAACAAAAAACTATGATGCGAGTGAATTAATTTTTGAAGTATAAAAATCAAATAATTTTGAAAATTATAACAAGTTTTTAACTATTTGTCAAAGAATCAGAGTCCAAATCTATTAAATATTTGATTTTTGCCACTTTTATTAATTTTTATCAATTTAGGCATATTTTTTATGGCAAAACAACGTTTGCCGGGTTAGCTAGTATATATATATATATATATATATAAATTTAGTGTCACAGCTGCCGTCCGCGATGGACGCCTAAAATACTGAACCGATTTAAAATTTGTTTTGCTCACCGTGTGCATATAGATCCCATTTAGGACATAGGGTATATTAAAAGTTTCAATTTATAGCCGAAATATTATATTTTTGGTAATTTCAATGTTTGACAAGCGAATCGTAGAATCAATTTGATCATATCTGGACCAACGACTTACGAACAATTCGAGCGATAACGTTGGGTAGACAGTAGACCCTTACGTAATATTACACTATTTCCAACATTTTATCCAAATTGGAGCTCGGTAAAAAAATTCAGAGGATACACCCTTTTTTTCTCTCCATTTTAGTTCATCGTAGATTGAATAGTGCACAGCTAGAGAGCAAAAGGTCTACTATTTTATTTAAACAAAGTTGTAAAGTAGCAACTTGCCCACTAGAAACTTGCTACGAATTTAAACATCAAACAACTTTCCTGAAACTCCGTATTAATTTTTTGCTGTTTTTATTTATATTTGTTTGAAAACATAATAAAACTGAATTTGCAGTTGAATCAAGTGTTATAAACAGCAACTTGCCTCAAGGCAAATCTCGAACAGCATTTTGCATGTAACATATCAAATGATAGATCTCGAAGAGATGAATACAAATCTGATATCCGTTTTAGTTAATTTTATTACATAAAAAATTTACTATGATAGATGGTGCCTGGTAGCAAAATTGTAAAGCAACAGCAACTTGCCTCAAGGCAAATCTCGAAAAGCATTTTGCATGTGACATATCAAATGATAGATCTCGAAGAGCTGATTTCGAATCTGATATTTGTTTTAGCTCATTAATTAATTAAAGAAAAAACTTTGATTGTTGGTTCTTTATAACGTAAAGTTCTAGAGTAGCAACTTGCCAATAGGAAAACTGCTAATTGTCACGTGACATATCATTAAAAAGATCTCAGAGAGAACAATTAGAATCTATTCTCTGTTTTTACTTATATTTATATGATAACGAAATAATAAAATCAAATCTGCAAATAAATCAAAGGCAAAAACAGCAACATGCCAATAGGCAACTTGCTAAGAACTTTTGGCATGCTAATTATCATTAAACAAATCTCTAAAAGGACGATACATATCTATTTTCTGATCTTATTTATATTTATTTGATAACAAAACCGAATTTCCAGTTAAATCAAGTATTATGAACACAGCAACTTGCCTCAAGGCAAATCTCGAATAGCATTTTGCATGTGACATATCAAATGATAGGTCTCAAAGAGCTGAATATGAATTTGATATCTGTTTTAAGTAATTTTATCACATAAAAAATGTACTATGATAGATAGTGCCTGGTAGCAAAATTGTAAAGCAACAGCAACTTGCCACAAGGCAAATCTCGAACAGCATTTTGCATGTGATATATCAAATGATAGATCTCAAAGAGCTGTGCACGAATCTGATATCAGTTTTGCATAATTTTATCACATAAAAAATTTGGTATAATAGATGTTGCCTGGTAGCAAAATTTGTAAAGCAACAGCAACTTGCCTCAAGGCAAATCTAGAACAGAATTTTGCATGTGATATATCAAATGATAGATCTTAAAGAGCTGATTACAAATCTGATATCTGTTTTAAGTAATTTTATCACATAAAAAATGTACTATGATAGATAGTGCCTGGTAGCAAAATTGTAAAGCAACAGCAACTTGCCACAAGGCAAATCTCGAACAGCATTTTGCATGTGATATATCAAATGATAGATCTCAAAGAGCTGTGCACGAATCTGATATCAGTTTTGCATAATTTTATCACATAAAAAATTTGGTATAATAGATGTTGCCTGGTAGCAAAATTTGTAAAGCAACAGCAACTTGCCTCAAGGCAAATCTAGAACAGAATTTTGCATGTGATATATCAAATGATAGATCTTAAAGAGCTGATTACAAATCTGATATCTGTTTTAAGTAATTTTATCACATAAAAAATTTACTATGTTAGATGGTGCCGGGTTGCAAAATTATAAAGCAACAGCAACTTGCCTCAAGGCAAATCGCTAATAGCATTTTGCATGTGACATATCAAAAAATAGGTCTTAAAGAGCTGATTACGAATCTGATATTTGTTTTAGTTCATTAACTAAATAAAGAAAAAACTTTGATTGCTGGTTCTTTATAACAAAGTTCTAGAGTAGCAACTTGCCAATAGGATAATTGCTAAATGTCACGTGACATGTCATTGAAAAGATCTCGTAAAACATAATACTAAACTATTTTCTGTTTTTATTTATATACATTCGATAACATGATAAAACTGAATTTGCAGTTGAATCAAATGTTATAAAAATATGAAAAAGGACTCTACTGACGAGCAAAATGAAATAGCATCTTCAAAATTTAGAAAAAAAGCTTGAAAAAAAGAAAAAATATTAGAAAATACCACACTTGAATATTATCTTTGAAGAATAAAAAAGGGGACTCTACTGACAAGCAACATAAAACATCATTTTTGAATATTAAAAAAGGACTACTGACGAGCAAACTAAAAGATAAAACCTATAAAAATATGAAAAAGGACTCTACTGACGAGCAAAATGAAATAGCATCTTTAAAATTTTGAAAGAATCTTAAAAAAAAGAAAAAAACAAGAAAAAAGCACGTGTACACTTGAATAGCATGTTAGAAGGTTCAACTTCTAAACAGTTAGAAACAGCAACTTGCCTCAAGGCAAATCTCAAAGAGCATTTTGCATGTGACATATCAAATGATAGATCTCGAAGAGCTGAATGCAAATCTGATATCTATTTTACTATTTTTTATCACACGCAAAAAATAATCATGGTTTTTACTTACACTGAACCGTTTAGCCTCAGCCGGCATCTGTTTAGCAATATCACCGCCTACAAAGACAGCTTCCAAATACGTCCACAAATTCTGGACGATCAACCACTTTTCCAAAATTTCTGAAGTGGTCACCAGTTTCCACACCCAAAGTTGAATATCCTTCTTGAACGGAGCATTGTATCTAAAATGGGACATTGATCAGTAAATTCTGTCACCAATTATGAATTGGATAAATTCTCTAAAATCTTATATATAAAAATGGATCGCAAAATGTGTTGGTAAGCGTCTAACTCAACAACGCCTGGACCAATTTGGCCAATTCTTTTTTTAAAATGTTTGTTGATGTCCAAGGATGGTTCTTACGGCGAGAAAAAATCGAATAATTGCCGTGACAACCCTAAAAACAGCCCTTATCTTTTTCTCATACAAACGTTTTCTAACCAAAACGTAGAATCAATTTGAGCTTTATTGCTATTATATAAAGTTCATATTAAATTACAAGCACTCACTGTATACTCCTTCTAAACGGTTATTCGGATTTTGATAAATCTTTCAGAAGTTTGTTATGAAAATTTTCTAGGATGTATGTGATTATAAAGTACTGGGATGTATGTGCAACATTGTAGAAATAAATGAAAATAAATGAAAACTATCACCTTCCAAAAATTTCAATTCACTTATGAACCTAGACAATAAGAATATGTATAATAAATTTATGATTTTGATTAAGAAAAATGAAATGTCTACATTATTATTGCCGAAAAGCAACTGATATGTGCCAGAAATTGAAATAATATAAAATACAGTATATGTTTAGCAAATCGAATTATACACATATGAACAAATATGACAAATTAATTCACTTAAAATATGAAATTAAGTATTAATCAGGGCCGGTCCTACCTTTAATACGATGCATGCTAACAATACGAGCGCACGCCTTAGGGGGCGCCAACACAAGATCGGGTATTAAATTTTCAATACAGTTTTATTTTTCAATATATAATTTCTTTGCATCTTTTACTAATCTTTCCACAATGTTTTTAAAATTCGTACAAATTTCACTGTATAACAACAAATGGGAAAGTAAAGATGAATACATACAATTCACGAAAAATCGATTAGGAGAAGTTTAAGATGCAATTTTGGATATCTTAAATAATAAAAAATTCAATTAATTTAATCCAACATGAAGTACAAAAGTGTTATGTTATGGTTATGGTTATGTTATACCGTTAAAAATACTTCCATTTCCAATATAGTGTTCTACATTTTACATCGCTCTTATTATAAATGTATATGCATTTTGGCGTGATGAGTAATTTAAAAAACAATAATTATTATTTTTAGGTAAACGGTAAATATTAGTATATTATATTAAGAAATTGTAGACATGGGCACAGAACAACGTCTGTCGGGTCATCTAGTTTATAAATATTTTTAATATTTACCTGTTGGACAGCAAAGAGTTAAGGACCATCAAAGCATCTTCCAACAATGTGACAATTTCCTGTGTTTCTGCTCCTTTTATCAAAAGTTCGCCACGGGTTTTGAAGTTAGCAAAACTTAGATCAATGACTGCCCAATCGGCTATGACTTGCTTCAGTTTGGCTTCGATGTCCTTTTCTTTGACTGCACTTATACAAATATCCTGGGAAAAAAGATTGATGAACAAAAGTGAAGTCAAACAAATTTAATACAATTTTTTATTTTATTATTGTACATTACCTCGACGTCATCCTTATGTTTCAACAAAGGTGCCTCCATGACGCTCCTCAAAGTAAAAGCAGGATTTTCCACATCGAATGTACACCTAAAAATAAAAAACAAACAAATTAACCACAAGTCTTTGATAAAATATCAAAAAATGTGGATTTTTCGACACGTTTTGATTTGAGTCCATAACTTTTTGAAGTAAAACTTCTTTAGGCGCGACATGGGTACAAATACGCACAAATGCAACGGATTTATACGTGCGTACGCGTCACCGAAAGCGTGAAGCTTATATTACAAATCGTGAGTTAATAAAAATGTCAGAATCGGAAGAATATTTTATCCCTCATCTCCCATAAATAATTGTAGTGCAAACTAGCTGTAAGTGGAATTCTGTCTTAAGCCAATTAAGGCATCGTGCCTTAAGGCAATTTGCTTGAACTTCCCGTAACAAAAATTATTATTTTTTTAAAAACGATTAAGATTTTTGAAAAAAATTTACTTCGAAAAAATAAGATTTTTGAGAAATTATAAATTGGACAAAAAAAATATTTTTTTTTGAAAAAAAATTTTTTTTTTTAATTTTTTTTTCCAACTTTTTTTTTTGACAAAAAATGTTTTCTTTATTTTGACATATTTTGGAAGATTTGAACTTTTTTTCAAAGCAACCGTACTACTTTAACTGCATAAAATATAAAGCGCGTAAGCGCCGCGTCGCTGTCTAACGGATAAATATTGGTACGGAACCCATAAGAATGTAAACAAAATTTATACTTATTGTTAAAATCTCTATAAAATATCTGATCATTTGATGTGCATATGTCTAATGATCATTTTCGACCGCCAAATGGCTTTTTTTTTTACTTTTTTCGTTATATCTCCGAAACCGCTAGACCCTGCCTTTATGAAAATTTGATCAATTCTTTATCTTGTCAATACAAGTAAAATGTTTTTTGAATTATTAAAATCGGACGCTCCGTTCTCTTAAAAACTGAGTTACCGTTTCGGCACTTTTTGCCCCGTATCATCGGAACGGCTGGACCTGCCTTCGCCAAAAACTAATCAGCACGTCTCCTTATCAATACGAATCGAATGTTTTTCGAATTATTCAAATCGGTTAATTAGTGTTCCCGAAATCGTCGACAAAAATTTGTATCCGCACATACATACACACACGCACATACACACACACACAAACACACACATACATACATCCATTTTTTCTAAGGTATGCCAAAATGTTCAGAAGGTTTTGAAACGTAAAGATATATAAAAACTTTCATTTTCGATTTTTTTGCGATTACTATAACTTGCCCTACGGGAAGTTAATAATCGCAAATAATGAAACAAATGAAAAATCTGCGCTGCGTAAAAAATTTAAGTTTATTGAAGTAATTTGTATTATTCGAGTTTTTCGAGGTTACTATATACCTTTGAGGTTATTACTAAAATAGCAAATATTTTTATAGGCAAGAATATACTACAGTTGCTCAAAAAATGAAACTGTATCGCCAGCGATATAGTCAAAACAAACAAGCAGTCAATAAACGTATGTTAATTTCAATTACATGAATTTCTACAAACACAATTACATGATAAGTGAAATTGTGAAAACAATATTTCTTTATTGGAAATTTAGAGAAAGTTTACATGTTTCTCTTTTGTGATGGCTATGGAGACTAATTATAATTTGTTATAATAGTAATTATGAATATTGATGCAGGTTCAAAGCCTCTTGCAAACTCTCAAACAAAACAACTGCAGGAAAATAATCGGTTAGTGCCAATTTATTAGAAAATCTAGAGCCAGGTATCAATTTAGATGTTAATGTCAATATCATTGACATAAGTAAGAATCTTTTTTTGGTATTTGACTCCTGAAAAACGCTACAACTATTCACATTTGAACAAATTATTCTTTTATCTTTTTAGATGAAAGTACTACTGTTACTTCTTCTGATACAGCAACTACATCACGTCAATTACAAATTAATGATTCTGTATATAATGTGACAAGAGTCAAATTTTGCAAAAGTCAAATAAAGTATTTGAACTTCCATATAAAGACTTTAATTTGTTTAGGAATGCTCGAAAATTGTTTGAAAAACAATTTACAAATGATAGCTTTGGCTATGTATGTTTTGTGTGTGATCGACTTTGGTTTCAAAGTGACTTAAAAATATTAAATAAAGCTCAAAAACAAATTCTTAATAATGGTTTTCTGAATATTGATTCAAATAATCAGGTTGGATGTCAAACTTGTCGAAAGGCATTAAATTCGGGTAAAATGCCCACTTTGTGTAAATTTAACGGGTTTGTATTTCCACCTATACCAAATTATCTACCTAAACTAGATACTGTATTTGAATTGTTAATTTCACCTAGATTGTGTTTCATGCAAATGGACAATTTAGAATATTTGGCCAAATTATAAATGTGCCTGTTGACATTAATAATATGATTAATTTATTACCTCGTAATATTGATGGTGATCTTTGCATTAACGTTCACATAAAAAGCAAATGATTCATAGATCAAGCTATGTGCAGGGCTTGTTAAATAAAACAAATATAAAAGTATGGCTTCAATTTTTTAGGCGAGACAGATATTACAGCTGTTCAAAGAATGAGATTATATCGCCAGCGAAAAAAATAAAAAAAAATACAAGCAGTCAATGAATGTATGTTAATTTTAATTACATGAAGTTCTTCAAACGCAATTATTACAGGATGAGTGAAGTTACGAAAACAATATTTGTTTGGGCGTTGTTTAACATAATCCACTGTGTGAACAAATATTATAGAATTAATTAATCAGCAATTACTTCATTTCGCTAATAAAGGTTCAAGTCGTAAATGTTAATTACAATGACAAACCGATCATGGCATATTTCAAGTATGACTTTGATTACATTATTGTTTGTAAATATTATACATATTTTTAATGCTATCATAAATATATAATTTATAATTTATCATTATATAAATGTGTATAATGGTTGGGTTGATACTAATAAATGTGTGCATCGCGAGTGTTACCTAATATTACTAATAAACATTATTCAAAATTGTTATATGATGTATTTATTTTTACATAACTTAAATTTGCTACTTTGTACAGGAGCTAATAGGTTTTACTTCAACCGCGTGTGATCCTTACGCGCACTCTTTAAACATATTATTACTTATATATTATTATACATATTATTACTTACTTTGTAAGATTTTCCAAACGTTTCCAATGTCTATCCTTCATCGCCTTATTTGCCATCAACTCTAACAAAGGACAAGTCTCATTGAAGTCATCAATTTTCTTCTTCAAGTCCAAATATGCTGGCCAATTCATCATGCCTTTTGGCAATTTGCGACACCTAAAAAAATAAAGATAAAAACCAATGGAATCAGAGTATATCAGTTGTTACCAGTTTAATTTAACATCTAATACATCTATATTATATGTAATAGGGAATGCAATACCGGTTTACCGGTATACCGAATTACCGGTAAACCTCCAGATTTTTTGGCGGTATTTTTACCGGTATTCACCCCAAAAATACCGGTATTTTCGGTATTTTTACATAAGCGCTATTTGATACATAATACACTAAAGTTTAGATTTCTCAGAACAAATTTATCTTTAAATTCGATAATCGCATAAACAGCTATATCTTCAAGTGATTCTATAGGATAAACAAATGTCAAATAATATCTCAACTCGTCATTAAATTTAATGTTTATTGCTTTACTATAAAGGCTTTATATTGTGTTACAATAAATAGAATTGGACTGATAGATAATGGTGTTTGTTTCATCTTATGTAAAAATGTAACGATTTTTAAGTGATATTTGCGCCAAAATATTTTATATCATACAGATTACCTCTGCGTAATCTTTATTTTTTTCTAACTTTATACATAATAATTATGATAATTACTAAATATTTTTGTTTCTTATTACATTTATAAAATATTATTTTTCAAAACGTTTCGAAGTTTGAAAATACTATAGAACCAACACATTGTTTTAAATAACAATACTCAACAATTATAGTAACTTGTTATTTATCTTGACAAAGTATCCGATCTTAAATTAGTGTAGAATTTTTTTTTAAATATTGGATATTATGCTAATTTAACACATCGGATACAGAGAATACAGTTTATTATAATAATATAATATGATCTTTTATGAGTTTTTGGTCTTTCTTACTCATAAGTTTGTTTTTGGTGAAAAGTACTCAATATACTCGATAGTGATAATGAATTAATTAAATTGGATATAATTTTGTTAAATTATTATTTAAAAAACTAAATTTATTGTTTTTATTGTTTAGTTGAATATAGTTGTAGTTATATATACATTTCTTTATATTTGTACTAGTAACTTTCAATTTTGTTTACGTTTGTTTAAGATAATAAAAATACCGGTAATTTACCGGTATTCCGGTTTTAAAATGAAAGATTACCGATATACCGGTATTGAAATTTTCCATCGGTATTGCATTCCCTGATATGTAATACATATAATATTTTTTTACCTGTTTTGGAAGTCAGCGAGTTCAGTTATTATAACATCAATATCGAGATCTGACCATGGCATATCGAAGTATCCATCGATGGTTCTGTTCACCTAAAAGACAAAAATATTGTATTGTTTGCAAAAAAAATCTATATTGCAATTTATTAGTTACCTTCAAGTACAAATCGTAAAGTTTGTTGAGCAAGTTGAACTCCTTCTTGCGTTTGTGCAGAATTGGATAATCTTTGACGGGCATTCCGAATAATTTTTCTCCGGAGGCGTACATTTCAAAACGACGCCACAATTCATCAAATCTTGCTTGGAATAACAAAACTCTGAAAAAATAAATAATGCAATCAAAAACTGGTATAAGTCCAGGATGAAACTAGTTGGTTTGGTATTTAGCCTTGAGGCAAGTTACATGAACTTCTCGATATGTGTTAATAATCGACGTAATCAATGGTGAACAAATTAATTTATGAGTGATTAAAAGTATTCCGAGTGGATTTATTACACATAATTGAAAACGAACGAACACGTTAACTCGGAGTATTTTCAAAAAGAAAATTTTCAAAAATCAATAATTTTTATAATTGAACCAGTTTACAAGACTTTAATGGTTTATTATGTTCAAGACCAAGTACTCTATCATTATACGAAGTTAATAGTCTAATTTTAATTTTAACAAACGTCAACAAAACTACTCATTTTCTCAAACTTTGATGAATTTTCAAAATTAAATTACTTGTCGTAAGGCCGTAATATTTCAGTAAGTTCTATAAGACCATAGTATATATCGTCAAAAAAAGTTCCATAAATATCGTCTTAATTTTTTTTTTTCAACAGTTAATTACAAGAAAACGGCTCGGTAGATTTTCACCTAAAACTAATCAGTACCATTCCCAACTAATATCTTTCGAACAGTTTTTGATTTTTTAATATCGGTTCGGTAGTTTAAGGTTAAATGTGGACGAAAAGTCTAACACTTTTTTTTTCAAATTACAAAGAAACGGCTAGGCAGATCGTCTCACAAAACTGACAATCGATAGTCCTCATTGGGATACATCGAATGGCTTTCAAATTTTTGGAATCGGTTCAGGCGTTTTTGAGAAAACGTCGATCAAAGGTCTAATTTTGACAAATGCCAAAAAAACTAAACCAATTTTTGTAAACTTTGACTAATTTTAAAAGTTAAACGGGTTGTCGTAGGGCCGAAATATTTTAGTATGATCTAGAAGACTATGGTATCTCGCCAAAAAAATAATAATCAAAATCGTCGAAAAAAAATTTTTTAACACTTTATTACAAGAAAACGGCCCGGCCGATCTCTACCAAAAGTAATCAGCACGATTCCCAACCAATATCTATCGAATGGTTTTTGAATTTTCAAAATCGATTCAGAATTGCGGGCTAAAACGTAGCCAAAAAAAATTTCACTTTTCTGCTATTTATAAAGAAGCGTCTCGGCCGATTGTCGCACAAAACTAACAAACAATAGTCCTCATCGAGATACATCAAATGGCTTTTAAATTTTTGGAATCGGTCCAGCCGTTTTCGAGAAAACGTCGATTTACGACAAAAAATCTGTTCACATACACGCACACACACACACACATACTCTTTCCAAAGTAGGTCTCATTCGATTCAGAATGGCTTGAAACGTCGAGAAAACATAAAATTAGCGAGTCGGATTTTTTGATGAAAAAATAAACTTCTCCTTCGGGAAGTTAAAAATCATACAATGCAATCAAAAACTGGTATAAGTCCAGGATGAAAAAAAATGGTTGGTAAATGGTGATGAAACTAGACTGAAATTTTTCAGAACAACAAGCTTTGGATATTTATTTGGAACTAGCCGGCCCGACAGACTTTGTCCTGTCAAAAAAAATTGTAATTTGGCGGTGTTTTGTGCCTACCTTTTTTCTATTCTTTGCAAAAAATTATCCTGAACAGAACCGTCACCCTGGTAATAATTCGGTGTGAATTAAAAATAATTAAATAATTAAATTTGTGACATTGCAAAGGCGCGGTTGGTCGATATTTCGCAACATTATAATTGCCGATCCAACCTTTAATTGAAGATTGTGAGGTGACAATTCTAGCAAATCCAGCGAGTTTAAAAACTCCGGTGGATCGTCTTGGTTAGTTGCCGAATCAACTGTTTCGCCTGTAATTTGTTCTTGAATTTTGAAATTTAATTAATTTACATCAATGTTTTTGGCTGCCAATATAGCTTGATTAATAGAAAGATATTTCTATGTTTATATAAATATATTCAAAATTATATTATCAAAAACTACACAAAATGTCATGACATAGATCATTGTTTTTTTTACAAATTGCGTTGCCTACTCGATTAAAGAAGAAAAGGGCTGTTTTTAGGGTTTTCCCGGCAATTATTCGTTTTTTTTCTCGCCGTAACAACCATCCTTGGACTTCAACGAACATTTTAAAAAAGTAATTGGCCAAATTGGTCCAGGCGTTGTTGAGTTATGCGCTTACCAACACATTTTGCGATCCATTTTTATATATTAGATTCATCAATTGACTAAGAAAATCCTTATGCTTATCTTTTAAATAAACAAACAAACCTAAACTTTTTCTCCTGGTTAGATTTTTATTTTATTAAAGACTAGCAAACCCGACGAACTCCGTTTCGCCACCAGATGGTTTCGTGAAAAAGATGAAGAAATTTTTTGTTTGTTTTATATTTGAAAAGGAAAAAATTGATTTTATTTCACAACAGCAATAAATTTATTTCGATTACAAAAAATGTAGTGTTTTTTAGTTGAACTTCTCTAAGTAAATGAAAGTGAATCCGCAAATTATCCGTTTCATTGAAGTGCTCTTTGGTAAACCACATTTTTTGTTTTTTGGTCTGACGTTAACACAAACAAAGCGGATGGTTTTCCAACTCGTGAACAGGCAACTCATAAGAGCCCATGTAAAAAACAATGATTTTCTAAATAATCAATTTGAAATTTATTCCGCAAACACTAAGCGATTGGCCTTGCGACTTGTTATTGCGAACGCAAGGCAAACTGGAAATTGCAATCGTTTGAAGTCAAACGGAAGACCAGTCGGAATCATTGGTATGTCACCAAATTGCCAGCAATTTTTGATTGAATGGTGAAATTCAGTGCGTGTACATCATTATTCTTTGCGGCAAAAATTGCTCGTTGACTTAATTGCAAGCATAATTCTGATAATTCTCACTAATGTCATTACTCAAATTTTTAATTACGGTGCGTGAAGTTCCAGCAATTTGCATTAGGGCACGATGCCATGCACCACTAATTTTCTTAGCTATAAACCTTGCGGAGCCCGAGACCTTTCCAACGAATGCAAAATTGTCGAAATCGGTTCGTGCGTTCTGGAGTTATTTCGTCAGGAAGGAAAATCCGACTTATTTTTATATATATAAATATATAGAAGATATATATAAAAATAAGTCGGGTTTTCCTTCCTGACAAAATAACTCCAGAACGCATGAACCGATTTCGACAATTTTACATTCGTTAGAAAGATCTCGGGCTCCGCAAGGTTTATAGCTTGGCATCGTGCCTTAATGCAAGCTGCTGGAACTTCACGCACCGTAATTAAAAATTCGAGTAATGACATTAGTGAGAATTATCAGAATTTTTATTACCTGTCGCTGGCTTCTCTGGCTGCCAATCCTGGTACCATAGGTCCATTCAAGTCAAATTCACGATCAAATCTCTCCACGTCTTCTGCAAAGGAAGAAACACCATCTTCCAGTTCCTTTTGCAATTTTTGCTGCAGATCGAGGATGTCCTTTTGCTTGTTCGAGGACTAAACAGATAATTGAAATATAAATAAAGCACTGGATAAAAATAATTTTAGTAATTAAGTGTATCTTTTTCTACTCACTGCTTCGAGCATGTTCTTAAAGTTATATCGCAAACTGTCCACACGATCTGTGTCTTCTCGAGGTATATCAACATTGAATTGGGCAAAAGTGGCATAGGTCTCTTCCATCAAAGCCAAGGACATATCCAATCTGTATACAATAAAAAAAACGTTACCAATGCAACTGATTGATTAGCTAAATGTTTGTGTATCATTTTACCTGATAAAATTATCTCGAACAACCTCCAAACACTGCATAGCCATTCTGACATCGTCCAAATCCTTTAACTCTTTAGCCAACAATTTTGTCTGCTGGCTGATAAAGTCTACCATTTCGACCAAGATCTGCTTGTTGTAAATCAACAAATGTTTTCCTAGAAGTTTCTTCCAGGCATTTGATTCAATGATCAAAGCTCGTTTCAAATTCTCTAAAGGAAAGGAAACAAACATTAGAAAAAAAAACAATCTGACTTTCTGCAAAACAGTGTGATCAAGATGAATAATCACACATTATCATATGAGGGAAGGAGGAGTATAATAAGAAAACACGTGTATTTATTTTTTACCTGAATTCGTAAATAAAAATGCATGTGAATACCACCGCATATCACCAAAGGTGAATGGGGGGGTCGAAAAGCCCCTAAAAAACCGACCACGTGATCAAAGAATGCGCCCTAAATGAGATCAAAAATATACCAAAAGAAACTAAAGCAAATCCCTCACCTGTTCTGATAAGTATGATTCCAATCTGGTAAGTCTCGGGCAAATTCTGGATAGCAATAGCCCTGTCATCGTACATCCTGAAAGTCTCCCGAATATCAGCAACCAGAGGTTTCGTATTTACAAATTCGATGACCTGGTCTTCTCGATCTTCTGACCACAGATGTTCATAGACTTTGAACGACTGCAAGATAAAGGACATATGGTAAAAGTGAAAGGTACTGTAAATACAGTTCAACTTACATTTGTTAAATTTTCAAAATCCCTCCTCAATTCGAGAATATCAGCTGCTAAATTGACAACAGCCCTGACTACATCCTTGTGCTCCGATACCAAAGTGTAGTAAGTTCTGTATTTTTCCTTCAAGTAAATTCCACCAGCTTTTACACCATCTGAAAACAAACTCAATCATAAAATATATTCCTCAATGTGATTTTGCATCCCAAAGATTTCCAAAGATTTTATTTATTTTTTACCTCGATTTGTTTTCGTAGGAGCATTCCTGCCCCAGCTGGTAATGGCAGTGTGTGTAGTTATAGCATTCATGATGACCCTCTGAAAAGCAGCATTCAATTGTTCCAATGGTGGTTTAATTACTGCATTTGGTATCATCAGCTCCATGTCTGCCAAAAGGACTGGAGCGTTTTTGGGTTTGGCAGGGTTCAATCTAAAAAGAGATGCACATTATTACCTTTCCGTAGAGTGAGTTATAGTAATCGCAAAAAAAATCGAAAATGAAAATTTTTGCATTTCTTTACGTTTCAAAGGTTTCTGAACATTTTGGTATACCTCAGAAAAAATAGGATGTGTGTGTGTGAAGATACAAATTTTTGTCGAAGATTTCGGGAACACGAATCAACCGTTTTGAATAATTTAAAACGCATTCTATTTGTATTGATAAGGAGATGTGCTAATTAGTTTGTGGCGAAGGCAGCTCTAGCCGTTTCGGGGATACGGGGCAAAAAAAGCCGAAAATTGTGATTAAGTTTTTGAGAGAACGGAGCGTCCGATTTGGATAATTCAAATAAAATCATAAAAGTTTCAAAAATTCTCAAAAGTTTCAAAAATTCTCAAAAGTTTCAAAATTCCCAAAAGCTTCAAAATTATCAAAAGTTTCAAAATTCCCAAAATTTTCAAAAAGTTCAAATTTCTGAAATTTTCAAAGTTTCAAAAAAAAATCAAATTTGAAAAAATTTCAAAATATATAAAAAAAAAATCAATTTCATACAAAAATTTGAGAATATTAAGAAATTTTCAAAAAAATAGAATATTTTCAAAAATTTCCAAATTTTCAAAAATTTAAAACAAAAATGTTTTTTCACAAATTCCAAATAATTCGAACTCAAAAAATAAAAAAAAATCAAAATTATCAAAAAAATGAAAATATTATAAAAGAAAATCAAACAAATTTCTTGTAAACATACATTTTAAAAAATCGATTTTTTCACAAAAAAATGTCTAAATTTTGAAATAACTTCAAAAAAAAATCAAATTAGAAAAAAATTTGAACAAATTTCTTGTAAACATACATTTTAAAAAACAAAAATTCCAAAAAAATCAAAATTTAAAAAAAAAGACTAAATTTTGAACAAATTTCAAAATTAACAAAAAAATTCAAATTAAAAAAAAATGAAGTATTTTCTTTTGAACATACATTTAAAAAAAAATAGATTTTTTTCACAAATTCTAAAAAAAATCGAGCTTTTGAAAAAACATCATAATTTTGAAGAAATTTCAAAAATATCAAAAAAAATTTGAAAAAAATCTAAATTTTGAAAAAAAAATTGAAAAATCGTTTTTTTTTAAATGAACAAATTTCTTGTAAACATACATTTTAAAAAAATCGATTTTTTCACAAATTCCAAAAATAATCGAAAACCAAAAAAAAGCTAAATTTTGAAAAATTTACAAAATTACCAAAAAAATTAAATTAAAAATAAAATCGAACAAATTTCTTGTAAACATACATTTAAAACAAATCGATTTTTTCACAAATTCGAAATTTAAAAAAAAAATCTAAATTTTGAAAAAATCTCATTATCAAAAAAATAAAATTTAAAAAAAAAATTGAACAATTGAATTGAAAATTTGATAAGTTGTTTGTAGAATACTCTCGTCGCTCAATTTAATTAAGCACTTAATTTTATAGTATGTATTTATAGTAAATAATCTATTTGAAAATATTTAAAACAACTATTGATTATTTTCATTCCTTGAGTGTTTATTTACGGTACGGGAAGTACTAGCAATTTGCCTTAATTACAACATTATTTAACACTTACTCTGTAACTCTTTCCTTGAGTATCTCCAAAGAATTTTTGGTAGCCCTCACCAAGGCGTCCAACATCTTCTGACTAAAATGGGCGAACAAATAAATAGCATCAGCATGCACATTGTTGATGTCAGCCCTCAGATTTGTTTCATCGACTTCCTTAAACTCTGGATAAAACAAAGGTATAAAACAAACATTATTTATTTATTTATTTAAATCAAAACTAGTGCGGCGCATGGCATCATGCCTTAAGGCAAATTACTGGAACTTCCCGTACCAAAAATTATTGTTTTTTTAAAAACGATTAACATTTTTGAAAAAAATTTACTTCGAAAAAATTAGATTTTTGAGAAACTACAAATTTGACAAAAAATTACTTTTTTTTGAAAAAAAAGTTTTCTTTATTTTGACATATTTTGGAAATTCTAAACTTTTTTTTAAAGAAATCATACTGCTTTACCTGCATAGAGACAAGATGTCAAAGCGCGTAAGCGCCGCGTCGCCGTCTAACGGATAAACATTGGTACAGAACCCATAGGAATGTAAACAAAATTTATACTCATTGTTAAAATCTCTATAAAATATTTGATAAATTGATGTGCATATGTCTAATGATCATTTTTGACCACCAAATGGCATTTTGTTTTAATTTTTTCATTAGATCTCCGAAACCACTAGACCTGCCTTTATAAAAATTGATCAATTCTTTATCTTGTCAATACAAGTGAAATGTTTTTTGAATTATTAAAATCGGACGCTCCGTTCTCTTAAAAACTGAGTTACCATTTTCGGCACTTTTTGCCCCGTATCTTCGAAACCGCTAGACCTGCCTTCGTCAAAAACTAATCAGCACGGCTCCTTATCAGTACAGATCGATTTTTTTTGAATTATTTAAATCGGTTGATCTGTGTTCCCGAAATCGTCGACGAAAATTTGTATCCGCACACACACACACACACACACATCCATCCATTTTTTCTAAAGTATGCCAAAATATTCAGAAACTTTTGAAACGTAAAGATATATACAAATTTTCATTTTCGATTTTTTGCGATTACTATAACTTGCCCTACGGGAAGTTAATAAAAATTTTTGCATTTCTCGACGTTTTGAAGGTTTCTGAACAATTTACTGTCATACCTCGGAAAAAATTTATGTGTGTGTGTGTGTGTGTTTTGTATGTTCGCATTTTTTCGTCCACGTTTTCGGGCGCACGGATCAACCGATTTGAAATTTTTGGCAAAGGCGGGTCCAGCCGTTACGGAGATACGGAGCAAAGAGTGCAGAAAATGACAGTTTTTGAGTGAACGGAGTGTCGTATTTGAATGATCTAAAAAAATGCAATTTGTAATGATTGGGAAAAGTGAAAAATGTGAAAACGCCGCCAAGCCAAGCACAGTACAAGTAAAAATGTCGCACAGAATTATTTGCAAATGCGTTTAGACTGTGACTATGCTGAAGCACTTTTTCAATTTTATGTAAATTAGGCAACTATTTTTTTTTTTTGAAATTGAATTCGATATGAAATGACGATTGTTAATGTAATAATTGATTGATGATTTGCATTTGATTTGCTCAAGATATAACAACAAGATAGCAAAAATAATGAAAGTTACACAACAGTATTTGTAATAACATATTTGAAAGCGTGTAAAATTTCTCGAACATTTCATTACGGTACGGGAAGTTTTAGCAATTTGCCTTAAGGCACGATGCCATACACCACTAATTTATATTTTTTTTCTCAATTCCCATTTACCTGCATATTGTTTTATCAATTGCGACGACGACCCTACAGGTTTAGCAGCCTCTTCCAGGTCCATCCATTCATATTTATGCGGTTTATCCTCAGGAATAATCGAATCAATCAACTTATTAACCAGCTCCATACAAGCAACCTCACAGGCAATAGATTTTGTCTGCAATTCCTTTCCTAAAACAACCCTATAGTCCTCATTCATAAAAACAAATTTCTCCGTCTCGACTGGCGAATCTGGTAGTAGCACCAACTTGGTCCTGATGATCTCGTTAAAAATATCGTACAACGGGCGTCTTTGATATCGGCAACCTGGGGGAAAAAAATCAGCAAATGATAAATGATAAACTAGCTTTAAGTGGAATTCTGTCTTAAGGCAATTAAGGCATCGTGCCTTAAGGCAAATTGCTGGAACTTACCGTACCGTAACGAAACGTTCGTGGAATACTGAATGTTTTCAAATAGATTATTATAAATATTGTAACATTGTCTAATATTTATAAGAATTATATAAACTGAATTGCAAGTTGAAATTATTTGTTTAAGGTATATTAGAACTATAGTCAGAATTAAAAATAAAATCTGAATTATTTTCGATATACAAAAAATAAAAAAAAAAAAAAAAATGGAATTTTTTTTTCCAAAATCAATTATTTTGTTAAGACAAGCAGAAAGTTTTTTGAATCATTTAAATCGGACGCTTAGTTCTCTCAAAAACTGCCATTTTTTACATATTTAGCTCCGTATTTTCGAAATAGCTAGGCCTGCCTTTGCCAAAAACTAATAAACACTTCTCCCAATCATTACTAATTGAATGTTTTTTAGATCATTCAAATCGGATACTCCGTTCTCTCAAAAATTCGATTTTTATTTTCTACACTCTTTGCTCCGTATCTCCGAAACGGCTGGACCTGCCTTTGCCAAAAACTAATCAGCTCTTTTCCCTATCAATAGGAATCGAATGTTTTTTGAACCATTCAAATCGGTTGATCCGTGCGCTCGGAAACGTGACTGGAAATTTGTATCCATACATATATACACACACACACAAACACACACACACACATCCATTTTTTCTGAGGTATGCCAAAATGTTCAGAAACCCTCAAAACGTCGAGAAATGCAAATATGTTCATTTTCGATTTTGGACCCATTACTATAACTACCCTTTTTCAAAAAAAATCAATTCTTCGAAATTTTCCATAATTTTCAAAAAAATCTAAATTTCAAAAAACTTCAAAAAATATCATAATAAAAAAAATGATTTCTTACAAAAATTGGAGAATATTTCGAGATATTAAAAAAATCGAATATATTTAAAAATTTCCAAATTCTCAAATAAAAAATTTTTTTAATATTTTTTTACGAAAATTCCAAACAAATTCGAACTTTTAAAATAAATTTATGAATTTTGAAAAAAAATCACAATTATCAGAAAAATCAAATTTAAGAAAAAAATGAACAAATTCCTTGTAAACATACACATAAGTTATTGAAGTAAAACTTCTTTAGAGTGTAAATCCGTACAAATGCAACGGAAGTGTGTTACGGCAGATAAGATAAAATAAGAGTCGAGTGACAATGATTCGTCATTCCCTATCGATGATATCATTTCTATACGGAGTCGTCGCGTATGTGAATAGAGATCTGTCGTTGTATGCGTACCGGCATCAACGTTGTATGCGTACCGATATCAACGAGAAAATCGGCATAGATAAATAAACATTTTAAAGTTACATCGTAGTACAAATCTTGATTTAATGAAAAATGCCTGAACCAGAAGAATATTTTAACCTATTCCTTGAAAATAATAAAATAAATTAAACATTTGTGCCTTGTACTAAACGTAAGTTTATTGATTAGAAATTATTTCTATATTATTCGAATATCGAATCGGTTGATCCGTGCGCCCGAAAACGTGGACGAAAAAATGCGGACATACAAAAGACAAACACACACACACACATCCATTTAGTTTCTGAGGAACGCCAAATGTTCAGAAAAAACTTCAAAACGTCGATAAAAGCAAAATTTTTCATTTTCGATTTTCGGCCCATTACTATAACTACCCTACGGGAATGTAATAATATTGTGGTTGTCTTACATCTTTGGTGAACAGTTTGACCCTGGTCAAAACTTCTTCGACATTCGTTATAAAATCGTTGACTTTCAAGGATGTCCATAAAATGGTGCAAGTCGCTGCCCTGTAGGCGTTATCCAGTTTCATCAGCTGGGCTCGCATCAGGTTCAGGAATAATTTAGGAATTGATCTGGATAAAATGATAAAATAATAGTAATAGATAATTAAATAATAATATTTGAGGTATACAATAATTGTTGCTTACCCTCTGATTAACGTGTTCTGATCAGCCAGCCTGGCAATCTGTTCGTACATCCTCATCAATTTGTCCTTGTCGTAGGCTATGACCATTGCTTCGTCAGGAGCTTCTACAAATTTATATATCTATATATATATATATATATATATATATATATATATATAACTAGATGACAAACATACGTTGCCCTGTACCCATGCCTACAATTCAAAAGTCCCAATATTTTGTAATAACCTATACTGATATTTACCAATTAGTTAAAAATGATTATGTTTTTTACACTACAAAATGTATATACATCCACATGAGTAATCTTAAATGTACAACTGCTTTAAATAAAATCATGAGTCTCAGATTCCACACTTTACATCTTTATTTCAATTGTGAAATTCAAATCAGCCACGTGAAACCATCAAACAAACAAATAATGAAATACGTTCAATAAAATAGTATTTTAGAAATATACACTACAATCGATTGAACAAATTTAATTCCAACAGCTCAATTTATTTTAAATTTTTTTTTTTTTAATTTGAAAAATTTGCTTTATTTGTCTTAAATACATACATTGATTTTTACATAAAGATACAAATTGTATACACCTCAATTTATTTTAATGTCAAGGGTTATCCAATATTTTTAGTCATACCTGAGTAGATGTAGATGTATAAATAAATGATTTTTTGTTTATTTACGACTACAACATCGATTTTTCAAATTTATCACACAAAAATTCATCGTCTGCCTTTGTGATTTATAGCATAAGATATACGTATTGGAAATTGCAGTCTTTTAAACAGTATAACGAATTCAGAAAGAATTAATATATAGTATCCGCGGTAAAGGTGCAATATCACCTTGGATTTTTCCACTCAAAATAATTGCTTCAATAATGTCGCCCATAATTTTTATAATTTCGTACCATATTTTAAATGGCTTTTAGTAATTTTAATATCTAAATTACATTTTTCTCACTAATAATTCAATATACATTATTACTTTAGTTCATATTTTAAGTAAATTAATTTATCAAATACTGTTCATATGTGCACTATTCAAATTGCGATCAACGAAATTAGTGCAGTAAATGGAGAGAAAAAGGGTGTAACCTTTGAATTTTTTTACTGTGCTCTAATTTGCGTGATATTTTGAAAACTCTTGAACCAAGTTAATTCTGGGTGAAATACGAAGTTATTTGATTTAAATAGAAAAAAACAGACCCTTAACAGTACTTATTTAAAGCTTATTTTAGAGTACTATAAAACCCCATGGAATATATAAAATGTAACACCTCGCCGATAGACGACTTCAAATTTGCTTATACATATCTATCTTAATATTGTTCCTAGGACACATTGTAAAACACCGATTTATTAAGATTTTAATTGATATAATTTTGTTCATTGCATGATTTTCGTTAAAATATATATTTTTTGGGATATTTGCAAAAAAGAAACGAATTTTCAATAGTCAGTAACTTGAAAAATATTTGCTTCTTTGAAAAACATTATGAAAGATATTTTTCTTATAATTAGTTCTTTTATCGATATCCGACATTATTTTGAAAAAGAAATAAAATTACACCACTGAGAAGGGATGTTATCCCCCCGGGAAGTGGCAAAGAAGTTTAAATTATTTTCACTTTTGAACTCGAGAATAAGATGAACCTAATTTCAAAATTTTATGCAAATTGGAGCACAGTAAAAAAAATCAGACCCAAAACGCTCCATTGACTTGAGTAAATATTTCATAAAAATTTTTGACACAATGAAACTTTTAAATAAATTTAAATAAGAATTTTTTTTTCGTAGTATGATTTAGTAAAGTAAGGCAAAACACGACTGCATTAGTTAAAAATAATAATGTGTCAAATTGAATTATATAGGGTATGTTTGATGCGTAATCACTGACAGTCAGTTCATTTGCCAAACCATATACTGTATCTCATATTATTGTAATTTTTGGCACATCTCAGCTGCTTTTCGGCACTAATAATGTAGGCATTACATTTTTCTTATTCATAATCATATACATATTATATTCTAATATTGTCTTAGCTCATAAGTTAATTGAAAATTTGGCAGACGACAGAATACATTTGTCTTCAAAGCCAAGAAATGCCTCAAATATTTTCAATGTCAATCAATAACAAGCGGTTTTTTGCAATTTTTCCATTTAATTGTACAATCTAACTATATTTCTATAATTCAAAAAATCCTAAAAAATTCCCTTAAACTTCAGAAAGATTTATAAAAATCCTAAACGATTAGGAGGATTATCCTTTCATATGTCATTACAGAAGAATTTTATATATAATTAATAATATATAAGTAATTACAATTATCACTTACCTAAACCAAGGCCCCACATAGTCTCTGTTTCCCTTAGAACTTCAAACACATAAGGATTAAAATTAGCTCGAAGCATTCCTGTTCTCGATTCCCTCATCATTAAAGGTACTGCTAACGCGTGTTTGATCTAGCAAAAAATAAAGAAACTAGGTGTGATGACTAGAACATAATATTCAATTAGTATATTTAATTTTATTACCATGATGACGTGTTCGCACCAAGATGTATGGTATAACATTTCGTAATGAAGGAGCACCTGGGCCAAACTGTTGTACAACCTTATGCAACGGCGAGCTCTCTTGTGCTGGATGACACAGTCTTTGGTTTTGAAGATCTTTAAAATTAAAAAAAAATACATAAACTTCTTAGGAAAGATATGATATATAATGTACTAGCTGTACTCGTTCACGCTTAGCCGTGTTTTACTTTCAATTAAAAATTTGAACAAAAATGGATATTTATTACGAATAGTGTACCAGTTTTCTTGTCTTCCAGTCTATCTGTCTATATTACTATATGTCTACCTCTCCACCTGTTTACCAGTTTACCTGCCAACTTGCTTATCACTTAACCTATTTGTTAGTCAACCAATTTACCGGTTCACTGTAATTTACCTATCCACCAATATACTTGACAAATTGTATATCAGTCTACTAATTTAGCTATTCAAGAATTTATTCATCCACCAATTTACATATTTATCTGTATACATACGAGGTCTGTTCAAAAAGTACCCGGAATTTTCGTTTTTTCAAAAAAATATTTATTTATTCGTCTACATTAATGTGGTCCCCTTCAAAGTAGTCCCCCCCAGATATAATACACTTATGCCAGCGTTTTTTTCCAATTTTCGAAGCACCCTTGATATTCACTTTTTGATATGTCCTTGAGCACTCTCAGCGATTCGGCCTTTATTTCTTCAATCGAGGAAAACCGCCGTCCTTTCATGGGTCTCTTCAACTTTGGGAATAGGAAAAAGTCACACGGAGCCATATCTGGTGAATTTTTGCACTTTGCAACACTTTATTTCATTTTTTACGCAAAATTTAATACAAATTCTTTGACTTTCAATTCTTCCATTGTAAAAATCGCCGAGCTCAGAAAAACACGTCGAACCTTAGCGACTACCACAGACAAAGTAAACAGTGAATATAGCTGAAAATGTCATCATACTTTAGGGGCATGTATACCAACACAATAAAAAAAAATTTTTGACAATCAGACACTCCAGACCCGCGAAATTTAATTATTAGTAATTCCGGGTACTTTTTGAACACACCTCGTATTTAAATATCTACCAGTTGTCCCATCTATTATTTTAGATATCCTCAAATTTACCTGTTCACCAATTTACATATTTATCTGTATACATATTTAAATATCTACCAGTTGTCCCATCTATTATTTTAGATATCCTCAAATTTACCTGTTTACCTATTCCAATTTTAGTGTCTACCTGTTCATCTCTCTACGTATGTATCTATGTATACAACTCAAAGTTTTTACTTTTTTATCACCAACCACTATTTTTTTTAGTCATTTTAGCAATTCAATCATTTCATTCAGTCATTCAATATTATTGACATAATTTTAGTTCAGACTTTTAAGCTCGAAGAAAGAGCTTAAATTTTTCTTCAAAATACAATTTATTAATATTAAGGGTTGTCTAATCTCAATACGTTTTTAAATTTTGGGGTCAACTTTTTTTAGTTGAATTTTTTTATTGCGTAATTGACAAAACTCTGTACTTCAAAATACTATTCATTTTTATTAAGATTTCTCCACGCCTAATATTTTTTTAAATTTTTTTGACCAATTTTTTTTATTTTAATTTTCTAAAATTCGCAATTGAAAAATATCAATTATCAAGGGTTGTCCAACCCTAACTTTTTTAAATTTTGGAATCGGTTTTATCTTAATTCTAATGTATGAACATTAGATGCGGAATTTAAAAACGCACACAACTTTACATTTTTACCCTTCTCTTCCACAAATCTTTATCTTATAATAGCCATTTTAGTAATCGAATAATTTTCCACCACGCCTTCATTTGAATTTTAATTAATATTTTTCAGACCTTATGACAAAGCATTAATTTTACTTAAAAAAAAAAACAATTTATCAAGGGTTGTCCGCGACTCTGACTTTTCAATTGTACAAATATTTCTCGATGCGCACAAACAGTACATAGTTGATAAATGTTTGCATGAAGAGCAATTTTTGCAAAGAAATAGAGTTATTGAATATTAAAATCTGAAGATACAACAGTTTTTGATAGGGAACTATAGATAATAGGGTTTGTCGGTTTTCAAAAACCGTTTTTTTGACAAAAATTAGAGAATTCTAAAACCGCTTTTCTAGTAGAAAGTCGGTTTTTACTGTTTGAATAGAAAATGACAAATATAGCCAAATATAAAAGATAGATGCTGCGTTTTGATTCTAGGATTCATATCAGTTACATAGCATTTGGAATCTTATCAGTCTGCTAGGGTTTCCAAAAAGGTTTTCTGTTATCTTTTGTTTAATGCATATATTAATTTAGATTTTTATATCAGTGTATATATTAATTTAGATCAGTGTGACTTATTAGTGAGGAAGTAACTTCGAAAACCGGTTTTCTGAAATGTCGGTTTTCGTATAAACCCGAATAAGTACCATACAAATCTATGGCAAACTGTAAAATTTTCCACTATCTTAATTTTTTCCAATCTAAGTCAATTCGCTGACATGCTACATTATAACATGATTTAAAAATGAGTTATCGGGTTTTGTTCGTAATTCAAAAATTACTGAAATAATAAAAAGCACATTAATATTATATCAAAATCTTGAAACTTTGAATGTGCCAATTCAATTTAAATAGAATCAGTTTCAAATTTGTTTGGCTCTTGCAAAGACTATTAAGGGACATTTATAGGTGGCCCGCTTGCAGTGGGTTAACTATTCATATATTTTTTGTTAGCTGCTCATTTCACTTATATACCACATTTGCAATCAGTTATTTTTGTACTAAACATTTTATACTAGAAATATTTTTTTCTGGCAAAACAACATTTGCAGGGTCAGCTAGTATATATACATATATATATATATATATATATATAAATTTATAATTAGTTTAATATAATTATAATTTTTACAACTTACATTCATGATATTTTCCAAGCGAAGATAGAAACTTCGAACCCACATTATTCTACCAGCGACCGGTGGTGTATTTCTTGGTATTGGCGGATTTATACGTTCCAAGTTGTAACTAAAAAAATAATATACAAATATATACATAGAGTAAGATGGGGCACAAAGGTCAAATTTTGAGCAATTATTTATTTCACAGCTCACAGATTACACCAGGAAGACTCAAAAATACAGATATAATACATAATGAATAACAATTAAAATATATACAAAATTACAATATATAGTTAGTAACATAAAGTGCTTAAGATAAAATTACATATAATGCAGAATGTAACAATATTATTTATAAACAGAATAAGATAAAATAATGAGATATTTGAAAAGAAAATGAAAAGGTTAACTTGTGCACATGGAGATTATTTGATTAGGTGAAGTGTTGTGAATATCTATTTCATTATTAATTAAGTTAAAGTTAGAGGACATAAGTAAAATAGGCGAATTTAAGAGAGAATTAGATTTAGGAGTTGGATAATTGAAAAATAATTGTGAACGCGTAGATAGCCTTGGAACATTAAAGGATAGCTGATTAAGAATAAGAGGACAGTCTATAGAATTATTGCAATGTTTAAATAAGAACATAATTGTACAGATAAATCGATGTGAGACAAGAGAAGAAATACCGAATTCTTTTAGTAATGTGTAGTGGTCAAAGCCACGTTCAGGGTAAATTTTATATGTTTTATAATAAAGGTATTTCAGAAATTTTCGCTGAACCTTCTCTGTCGCATCAGAGTTGTTGATATGATGAGGATACCATATAATCGAACTATATTCTAATTTTGAACGTACAATAGAATAGTACATGCAAAGAAGCGCATTGGTAGATTTAAATTGTTTACAATTTCTCAGTATCAAACCTAAAGATTTATGTGCTCTATTACAAATATATGTTATATGATCCGTGAAAAACAAATCAGAATCAAATAGAACTCCTAAATCTGAAATTTTATTACATCTATCAATGCTGGTGTTAGAAATTTTATAATCAAAAAGTATTGGAACGCGCTTATATGAAAAACTGAGAATCTTGCACTTTGATATATTTAAATGTAATTTATTATAGATACACCAAGAGTGGAAAGAGACTGTAATAATAAGCAGTCATCAATAGAATTTATTTTGAGATATAGTTTCAGATCATCTGCAAATAATAAATGTGGACAGCTAATAATATCAGAAATGTCATTAATAAAAATAATAAATAGTAGTGGACCAAGAATGGATCCTTGAGGAACACCTGAACTGATATTTTCAATGTTGCTCAAGAATCCATTAAGATAAACAAACTGTTTACGCTTATGAAGATAATTCTTGATAAAATAAATAAGTGTAGAATTAACCATGCACACACATAATAACTATTATTATCTACTTACATATCTCGAATATCTTCAATCTCCTTCGCAAACTTCTCCATCAACTCCATATAAAGCGTTTCGATCCTGAGTGCGTTCAAATTCAATTTATCGAAACGTTGCAACAGCATCAGTCCATTTTCAACATCTAAAATAGGTTCCAAACTAGCCCTTGCGAAAGCCTTTAATTCTAAAAGGACATTCTGGCATGATTGTTTGTATTCCATAAAGTCTATGTCGAAATCTTCTCTCCTGGTAAGAGAAAAAAATAGATCAATTGATATAATGGGTGTAAATGAATAAATGATATAAGGTAAAAACTAGTTGGTATTGGTATTTAGCCTTGAGGCAAGTTACATGAACTTCCCGATATGTGTAAAATAATCGACTTAATCAAAAAAAAATGTGTAAATAATATACTTCATCAATCCTTCTTTAAAAAAAAACGATAATAATTTTAGCAAAGTTTGACGAATTTTTAAAAATTAAACTACTTGTCGTAAGGCCGTAATATTACAGTAAGTTCTATAAGACCATGATGTATATCGCCAAGAAAAGTTCCATGAAAATCGGCTTAAATTTTTTTTCAACAGTTAATTACAAGAAAACGACTCGGTAGATTTTCACCTAAAATTAATCAGTACCATTCCCAACTAATATCTTTCGAACAGTTTTTGATTTTTTAAAATCGGTTCGGTAGGATAAGCTTAAATGTGGACGAAAAGTTTAACACAAAACTGACAAACGATAGTCCTCACCGAAATACATCAAATGGCTTTTAAATTTCTAAAATCGGTTCATGCCTTTTTAAGAAAACGTCGACCAAAAGTCTAATTTTGACAAATGCCAAAAAAACGATACCAATTTTTGCAAACTTTGAAGAATTTTTAAAGCTGAACAAGTTGTCGTAGGGCCGTAATATTTTAGTATGATCTAGAAGACTATAGCATCTATCGTCAAAAAAATAATCATGAAAATCGTCGAAATTTTTTTTTTAAACTTTATTACAAGAAAACGGCCCGGCCGATCTCTACCAAAAACTAATCAGCACGATTCCCAACCAATACCTTTCGAACGGTTTTTGAATTTTCAAAATCGATTCAGAATTGCGGGCTAAACGTAGACGAAAAATTTTTCACTTTTCTGCGATTTATAAAGAAACAGCTTGGCCGATCGTCGCACAAAACTGACAAACGATAGTCCTGACCGAAATACATCGAATGGCTTTTAAATTTTTGAAATCGGCCCAGCCGTCAAGAAAACGTCGATTTACGGCAAAAAATCTGTTCACACACACATACATACTTTTTTCAAACGTTGGTCTCATTCGATTCAGAATGGCTTGAAACGTCGAGAAAACATAAAATTAGCGAATCGGATTTTTTGATGAAAACATAAACTTCTCCTTCGAGAAGTTAATAATACCTGTGTGCTAAAGGGTCATATTTTTTGGTGGCAAGTGTTATGAACAACTTGGTGAAAGCTTCTGCATAGTACTCGATTCCTGGTAGAGTCGAAGATTGGAGACGTGAAAACTTTACTTGCAAATCGCAGGTTTCTTTTATCTATAATAAAAATAAGAGTATTTTAAAATGTATTACCAATTAGTTAAATTATTGTTAATTTCCCGTAGTGTAAGTTATAGTAATCGCAAAAAATCGAAAATGAAATGTTTTATATATCTTTTCACGTTTCAAAGGTTTCTGAACATTTTGGCATACCTTAGAAAAAATTGATGTATATGGGTCATTCTTTTACAAACCGAACACCAATTAATTAATATATTGGCAGTGGATCTTTTTACCCGCAAACTTTTAAGCTCCGCTCTCCCTTAATGCTTTTTTTCGACTACATACGAGTATTCATTTTTCGCCAGAAGCACAATTATAAAACATTTTTCAACCGAAAAACAATAAGATTGTCATTCGAAAGTGACAAGTCTTTGAGGTCCCCGACGTGAAAAGCGTGGCTCGCGCTTGAAAATATTTAATATCTTTCGATGTAACAAAGTTTCCAAAAATTTGTAAAATGAATTTTGTTGCAGAGAAAAAAAGAAAAAATATGTTTTTTTTGGATCGATTCAAGTTGGGGTAAGGCTGAGTAAAACCTTTGTAAATATTTAAGGGTTGTTATTGTTAAGAAAATTGCAAGAACAAAAAAAAAATTTTTAATCATTACAAAGTTCACTTCAATATGAGTGTAATAAAAAAAAATAATACTGATCCGATCAGCTCATCCGGAGATAATTAATTTACCGCAGATGATATTCATAGAAATTGAGCAAAAAATCCATATTTCAATCGTAAATATTTACGTAAACAAATTTTTTTCAGCAAAATCCTGAAATACGTGTCAAATGATTTTATGTATAATATTTGTAAAAAAAATTTCAGACAATTCTAAAATGTAACATTTTATTTTTTCGAAAATCCGTTATTTACGATTTGTAAAAGAATGACCCATATGTGTGTGTATCTATGTATGTATGTGTTTTTTTTGTATAGCGACGGAAATGACTTCACGCATCTCAGACTAGGTCTTTTGTCTGAGTATGCCGGACTCAATATCGCCTGGGTATAATACCTACTAAAACCTCGTGGTGGGAGGATCTAGAATGTTATCATTCTTGCACTAAAATTATATTCATCTTCTAAATGGACAAAGTCCCATTCATCATGTATATGTACGTATGTATGTGTGTGTGTGCGTGCGTGTGTGTGTGTGCGGATACAAATTTTCGTCGACTATTTTGCGAACACGGCTTAATTTCAAAAAGGTCAAATTTTCCCAAAAATTTTAAGAATCCCAAAAATCGATTTTGCTCAAAGATCTAAAATAAAATTGAATCTTTTTTTTTAATAAATAATTTTTGGTACGGGAAGTACCAGCAATTTTTTTTAAGGTACGGTGCCATGCACCACTAGTTTTATCAGTTTTAGTGAAAGCAAGAATAGCTCAGTCGGTACACACGCCAGGGACACTCGGTTCGAATCCCGGCATTGACATTAGAATTGTCATTTTATTTGTTGGATTAAAATTAAGTAAAACTTGAAATATTGATTTGTAATAGAATAGAATTATAAGAAGGGAATAGCTCAGTCAGTATCATGTCCGACTAACACGCCGGAGACACTAGGTTCGAGTCCTGGCACTGACATTAGAATTGTCATTTGATTTGTTGGATTAAAATTAAGTAAAATTTGATTTATTGATTTGAGGTAAAATAAAATAAGAAGAAAGAAAAGAGAATAGCTCAGTCAGTAGCATGTCCGACTAACACGCCGGAGACACTAGGTTCGAGTCCTGGCACTGACATTAGAATTGTCATTTGATTTGTTGGATTGAAATTAAGTAAAATTTGATTTATTGATTTGAGGTAAAATAAAATAAGAAGAAAGATAAGAGAATAGCTCAGTCAGTAGCATGTCCGACTAACACGCCGGGGGTACTCGGTTCGAGTCCTGGCACTGACATTAGAATTGTCATTTGATTTGTTGGTTTGAAATTAAGTAGAATTTACATTATTGATTTAAGATAGAATAGAATTGGAAGTTAGAAGAAGAAGGGAATAGCTCAGTCAGTTGCATGTCCGACTAGGGATACTCGGTACGAGTCCTGGCACTGACATTAGAATTGTCAATTAATTTGTTGGATTGAAATTAAGTACAATATGAATTGTTGATTTGAGGTAAAATAGTATTAGAAGGTAGAAAAATTAGAGAATAGCTCAGTCAGTAAAATGCCCGACTAACACGCCAGAGATACTCGGTTCGAGTCCCGGCACTGATATAAAATTGTCATTTAATTCGTTAGATCGAAATTAAATAAAATTTGAATTGTTGATTTGAGATAGAATAGAATTAAAAGTTAGAAAAGTAATCAAAAACAGAAAAAAAGTAAGACAAAGTAGGTTGTAAAAAAATTGAATAATATAGAATATACAAAAATATTATAAAGATGAGACTAAATATATTTATTTATACTGATTATATGATGAGAGCGTTACTTAAAGTCTGATCCAAGATGTGTTGCATAATTTTTTTATATTGCAAAAATTGTAAATACTTTCATTAAATTCAGAGATGTGTGCAATAAATCATTCATTACTTGTTTAAAATATCTACTCGTAAAATATTGAAGCAAACAAAACATATTTTACACTTATGATATAACTTTGTATGTAAGTGTAATCTAATAATGCTTAATTTATCTTTGAGTAAATAATAATGTATCTTGTAGTAAAGATTTCTATAAAAATTCAGTGATAAATTTAATAATTTGATAATGCCAATCTGCCAATCTAATTTTTATACATGTTGAAATTTTTGTTATAAGATTTTATAAGATATAAGACGTAAATAAATTGTTATATTAAATCTGGTACCTTTAATAATCTCTCATTAAATAATTCGTATCGTCCAAAAATGGCTGTACGTGAACAAGAAAATTTTTTCTCGCCAGGAGTGTTTTCCATTTGGTGTTCCGTTTGGTAGAACAGTGTGTGGTATTTTTCATAAAGTTTGATGCAAACCTTGAAATAAATAAATAAATATATATATATAAATATATATATATATATATATATATATAAAAATAAACATTTATTTATTTGCAATAAGTATTTACGTCTATTTTTCTTATCAACTCGGTTTTAGGTTGTCCCCAAATGTTAATCGTGTAGTCATTCGTAAGATATTTCTTGCATTGCAATATCATCTGATTTGTCATCTAGAAAATTATTCAATAATATAAACATATATATATATATATATATATATATATATAATTATAAATTTGTACAAAACATCTCAACTCAACTTCATTTATCACTTATCGAATAAGTCGATATTAACAAAACACAAAATTTCGCAACATTTATATCTTTTATGTTATTTGTCTTCTGCTCTACTTGATAAATATGAGTTGTTTAATAAATATAATTAAATTTACACCTTTTGGAAAAGCGTAGCAATCCTGTATGTTGTGTTAAAGTATTTCGATGTATGGTAGATCATCCTTATCGTGAATATTAAAGGACTCAATGTATCTGGCAACTGCTCCGGATTCCTCCTAAAAAGTAAATCAATAACAACAGTAAAAAATCTGATTTGTAATATAAAAATCATCAAACAACAACTTGAGATAAAAAGTTCTACAAGCATACGACTTCTCCAGTAAATAAATCAACTTTACATTGTACAATTTAAAACTTGTTCAATATATAAAATTTATAATTACCTATAAAGAGGTTCCAAATATTTCTCCAGAGCTGTCAAATATTTCAAGTTATCCGTGGCAATGTTTGCAGAATTCGTCATGTTGTTGTCTAAGAGCCTCCATTTCTTAAAAGAACACAAATATTTATTACACATAATTATAATTCAATTGAAATTTTCAATATTTTGTAAATAACCAACAGCTATATATAAAATATACATTTTACTTAAGTTTATTCAAACTGACAGTTTAACTGTCAAAGCCGCCATTTTCTCATGCGTGAAGTTGTATTCGTAATTTGAAAAATGGCGCCATAAAATGTTATATGTATAATATTTTGAATTTAAGAGCTAATAAAATAATTTTATAAATATATAAATATATATATATATATATATATATATATATAAATAATTAGGTTTTTTTGTTCGACGTTGAGACATGTCTTGATATGATTTTCAGCCAGTCGTCGAAATAAAACAAACAAATAAATACAAAATATTTATTTAAAATATACGTTTCGACACGGATTGTGTGTCATCATCCAGCAATTCTTTGTTAACAGTATCTAAAAAATATTTACGATGATTTTTTTTAAAAAATAAACTTAATTTTATATTTCAAATAATTAAAAAATATACATACCACACCAGGAAAGAAAACACACAAAAACACATTATTTTATAAAATAATTAAATACGCATTAAAAATAAAATAAATATATAAAATAACAATATTAATTGAAACATGTTTTTCTTTTGATTTTTAAAACTGAACTTTATGTAATGTAGTTTTGTACGCAACGACTGCGACGCCAACGAGAACCACGTGACACACAAAATATATATAAAATTAAGTTTATTTTTAAAAAAAAATCATTGTAAATAATTTTTAGATACTGTTAACAAAGAATTGCTGAATGATGACACACAATCCGTGTCGAAACGTATATTTTAAATGAATATTTTGTATTATATATATATATATATATATATATATATATATATAATACAAAATATTTATTTAACTTACCTTCATGCACTTTGCATGTGCCAAAGTCATGCACATAATGTGCATTCTGCAAACATCAGTTTTTGAAAAATCGATGACTGAAGTGTATTTAGTCAACATATGTCTCCAGTATTCCAATTCGGCCCTGGGGCCAGTGTTAGCATCTTCTCTTCGCAGAGTGTGGGCCAAAACTTGTACCTAAGATAAATATATATATATATATATATATATATATATATATATGAATAAAATTATTTATCTGGTTAATTTAGTTACCAAAATAAATAAGACACTCTAAACATGATATTCTGAAAATATCACATTAACTAATGGTGTATGGCATCGTGCCTCAAGGCAAATTGCTGGAACCTACCGTACCGTAATGAAATATTCGAGAAATTTTAAACGTTTTCAAATATATTATTACAAATACTGTAACTTTCATTATTTTTGCTATCTTGTTATATCTGGACAAATCAAATGTAAATTATAAATAAATCAATTTATCTCCAGAACATTAACAAACGTCATTTCATTTCGAATTCAATTCAAAAAAAAAATAGTTGCCTAATTTGCGCAAAATTGAAAAAGTGCTACCGTATAGTCACAGTCTAAACACATTTGCAAATAATTCTGTGCGACATTTTCACTTATACTGTGCTTAGCTTGGCGGCATTTTCACATTTTTCAATAGTTTTCACAGAATTGGACAGCTCCCGTATAGTCATAGTCTAAATGCACTTGGGTAAACATTTGTACCGGAGTGGCGCTTAGACTGTGCTTAGGTCATTTTTTCAACTTTTAGTCCAAAATTACAAAAATATTTTTTGAAAAAAAAAATTAGAAACAAAAGTTTTTTCCAAAAGCAATTATTTTGTTGAAACAAGCAGAAAGTTGTTTGAGTCATTTAAATCGGACGCTTAGCTCTCTCAAAAACTGCCATTTTTTTAACATTTAGCTCTGCATCTCCAAAACCACTGGGCCTACCTTTGCCAAAAACTAAAAACCACTTTTCCCCGTCATTACGAACTGAATGTTTACGAGGTTACGAATGTTTACCTGAAAGGTTACGAATGTTCGGATGATCCGTTCTCTCAAAAACTCGATTTCTATTTTATGCAATCTTTGCTCCATATCTTCGGAACGGCTAGACCTGCCTTCGCCTTTCATTATCAATACGAATCGAATGTTTTTTGAATTGTTCAAATCGCTTCATCCGTGTTCCCGAAATCGTCGACGAAATTTGTATCCGGACACACACACACAACACATACACCTACACACACACATACATCCATTTTTTTCTATGGTATGCCAAAATGTTCAAAAGGTTTGGAAACGTAAAGATGTATAAAAATTTTCATTTGCGTTTTTTTTGCGATTACTATAACTTGCCCTACGGGAAGTTAATAAAATTGTTTATATTTGATTAATTTATTTGTATAAATAATAAACTCTCTTTTGAAAATATCCCATTAACTAGCTGTAAGTGGAATTCTGTCTTAAGGCAATTAGGGCATCGTGCCTTAAGGCAAATTGCTGGAACTTCCCGTACCAAAAATTATTATTTTTTTAAAAACGATTAACATTTTTGAAAGAAATTTACTTCGAAAAAAAATAGATTTTTGAGAAACTATTAAATTGACAAAAAATTACATTTTTTTGAAAAAAAAATTTTTTATTTGAAAAAAATTTTTTTTGAGAAAAAAATTTTTTTTTGAAAACAAAAAATTTTTTTTAAAAAAAATGTTTTTTTCATTTTGACATATTTTGGAAATTTTGAACTTTTTTTCAAAGCAATCGCACTGCTTGAACTGCATAGAGACAACTAACGCATAAGCATTGGTACGGAACCCATAGAAATGTAAAAAAAAATTATACTTATTGTTAAAATTTCTATAAAATATCTGATAATTTAATCTGCATATGTCTAATGATCATTTTTGACCGCCACATGGCATTATTTTTTACTTTTTTCGTTAAATCTCCGAAACCGCTAGACCTGCCCTCATGAAAATTTGATCAATTCTTCATCTTGTCAATACAAGTAAAATGTTTTTTGAATTACTAAAATCGGACGCTCCGTTCTCTTAAAAACTGAGTTACCGTTTTCGGCACTTTTTGTCCCGTATCTTCGGAACGGCTAGACCTGCCTCCACCAAAAACTAATCAGCACGTCTCCTTATCAATACGAATCGAATGCTTTTTGAATTATTCAAATCGGTTGATCCGTGTTCCCAAAATCGTCGACGAAAATTTGTATCCGCACATACATACACACACGTACATACATACACACACACATACACACACACATACACACACACACACACACACACACACATACATCCATTTTTTTCTAAGGTATGCCAAAATATTCAGAAACCTTTGAAACGTCGAGAAATGCAAAAATTTTCATTTTCGATTTTTTTGCGATTACTATAACTTACCCTACGGGAAGTTAAAAAAAAATTATGTTTCACAGTGTTAATTTTAATTATTCCGAAAAGTCATTATTATCACTAACAGTTATGATTACACTGAGTACTTTCGCACTAATATCTCAGTTTTTTCAAAAAATGGAGTTAGTCGATGTGTGCACTGAGCGGCTCATATATTGTAACATAAACACTGTAATCTAGTACTCCCACAGTACTACAAAAATTGTGTTTTCGGGAGAAATTCTTTAAAAATATTATATTGACAATGTATTTTTCTTACCGCCTCAATAAGTTTGAGCCATCCTTTAACAATCGATCTGCACCTGGCCATATGCTCATAACTGCTGGCAGATTCCTGGACTTGCCAAGCGGCCAAAAGTCGAGCATGATAGAACTCTCTGTCGATTGGGAATATTATTTTGCCTGCGATATCTCCAGCAACGGCTAGGAAAAAAATAAGATAAAAAACAATATTAGTATTAGTTATATTTTATTCTAAATAAATGAAATGAAATTGAATACTTTTGCTCTATTACTAATGCCTCATAACTAACCAGGATATATCTCATCAGACAACACTATTTATCAAAGACAAAAACCATAGATAAATAAGCAGAACACAAACACATGATTTATTTCAGGTTTGGTTCAGATTAATTCAAATTCAAATTAATTTTAAAAAATCTTTAAATAATCTTTACTAATTATTAATACTGTTTATGTAAAAATGGATTATTCTCATTTTTATAAATTCACTAGCAAACCCGACAAATTCCGTTTCGGCACGAGATGGTTTCGTGAGAAAGATGAAGAAATTTTTTGTTTGTTTTATATTTGAAAAGAAAAAATTTGATTTTATTGCACAACAGAAATGAATTTATTTCGATTACAAAAACGAAGTGTTTTTTAGTTGAACTTCTCTAAGTAAATAAAAGTGAATCCGCAAATTATCCGTTTCAATGAAGTGCTCTTTGGTAAACCACATTTTTTGTTTTTTGGTCTGACGTTAACACAAACAAAGCGGATGGTTTTCCAACTCGTGAACAGGCAACGTATAACTGCCCATGTGAAAAACAATGATTTTCTAAATAATCTATTTGAAATTTATCCCGCAAACACTAAGCGATTGGCCTGTTATTGCGACTTGTTAATTGTCATTGCAAACGCAAGGCAAACTGGAAATTGCAATCGTTTGAAGTCAAACGGAAGATCAGTCGGAATCATTGGTATGTCACCAAATCGCCAGCAATTTTTGATTGAATTGTGAAATTCAGTGCGTGTACATCATATTTCTTGGCGGCAAAAATTGCTCGTTGACTTAACCAAGCATAATTCTGATAATTCTCACGAATGTCATTACTCGAATTTTTAATTACAATGCGTGAAGTTCCAGCAATTTGCATTGAGGCACGATACCAACCTTGCGGAGTCCGAGACCTTTCTAAAGAATGCAAAATTGTCGAAATCGGTTCGTGCGTTCTGGAGTTAAATCGTCAGGAAGGAAAACCCGACTTATTTTTGTAGATATGTAGATTATAGAAAAAATAGACTAAAAACTTAAACTATTAGAGAATCAGTTACATAATAATCTTAATAAATGAAATTGAAATAAATATTTTCTTTCCATTACTAAAGTGTCGCATCTGGTACTCTGTTTACGATAGATGTCATCAGACAACGTAAACAGATTTAATTCAGTTTGGTTCGGATTTTAGATTGCATTAATTCAATTCAAATTTTTAAATAATCTGTACTAATTGTAAGTATTAATTATGTTTAAGTAAAAATAAAAAAATCTTTTTTTAACTTCTTATTCTTTTAAAATATAAGATAGTTGAAATATAAATTAATTTATATTTCAACTATCTTATATTTTAAAAGAATAAGAAGTTAAATAAAAGATTTTTTTATTTTTAATACAAATTTGTATTATACTTTACCATCCAAAAAATGAATGTAGTCGTGGACATCACAAACATTCATGTTTTGTAAATTCAGTAGCCTGGCCAGGATACACTGTGTTGAGGGCTCCCCAATCCTAAAAAAAGAAGAAATCATAATTGACCGAATGCACCAAAACTGCATCTGTTATATATATATATTTTTTTTGATATTGATAAATTAATCTTATTAATCTATCTAAGATCTCAATCGTTACCTTGTAATTAGACACAAATGGTTTATTGACATTTTCCAAAAGCCAGTGGAAAGATTTCACAATATCACTGTCGGCAGATACAGGAATAGTCGCATAGAAAACATCCTAAAAAAAGACATTAAAATAAATATAAAAGCTAATAAAGCATTTGATCAATTATGTTTTTTTAGTGTTCTTAAAACTAACCTCCAAATACCACAAATGCAAAAATAACATTATTCGACTTCACACGTATATTATTTATAAGTGCAACGCATCAGTACCAATTTTTTAAAATGCTTTTAAAAATGTTATCCCTATAGTGTTGCCATATAACTTGAAACTAAGAAGACCATACGTCCCGGAATAGCCGGGACAGTCCCGATTTTCCGCCTTGCGTCCCGACTTTTTCTAAAAGCAATATTTGTCCCGGTTTTAGGTGTTCTGTCTCGGAATGTCTCGGATTTTGAAAAATGTTTTGATTGCCA